AGTTTATAGCAGTTCAATGTGCAGGGATTGAATGTTTTCAGTTCTTATGCTTAGTAAACAATAGACATCATGGTCAAAATGATCCTATATTTCCTTCTATTGTTTCCTTATTATATATACTTAAGGAGGGATTTGGAGGGCTGGGGGGGAAGCAGCAGCTACAGTAATTGGAAATTGTAACTGTAGTAACTGGAAAACAAGAGGAATTATTGCCAGGAAGACAAAGTATGTCAGTGCCCTTAGGACAGTGTTCTTATCTCAATTAAATGACAATACATTTAATATTGTGCACACAGTTGTATATTCCATGATTCTGACAAAATGGCATCATCTTTAAGACCACATTTCAGTCTAAGATTTTTGTCACATCTCCATGTTACTAAAATTTCAAAACAGTGATAAATTTATTCTTCTATTTCTTTTCAAATAAGATGTTGGCAAACTTAAATCTGGTTATAAATCCTTTCACTGTATTATTTTTTAAAAAATATTGCCAACAATTAATTCTTCTCTAATAGAAATTATTTCAGAAATTGGTACTGCAAGCAATCTCATTAATATGAGAGATGAATTTTAAATTCAGTGGAATTTTCTGAATAAACATTAATATGATATCTGTATTTGATATTTTTTAAATCAAAATGTTCATTGTGACTTTTTTTGACCCTCCTGTATTTAAAATATATCATGACTTAATATGATGTGGTTTTCATTAAGGTGAAAGAAGTGATCCAATCTTACATAGTTTGTTTAACAAATCATGGTTTAGAAATCTTGACTATTGTGAAATGAGAACGAAGAAATTTTAGGAGATTAGCAATAGGTATAACACATGTTATAATTCTGCTGCTTAGTTGCCTAATATAAATTAGGATTTATATATATATATATATACACATACACATACACATACACATACACACATACATCCATACATACGTACATACATACATACAGGTAATCATCTAATGAAATTGCAATTGGGACACAACTTTGCTATTTCTAATATGATGTCACATAAATTGCATAAATTAGCAATGGCAGTCCCAATTGTTCTGGTAACCCAAGATGTGTGGGTCATTAAGTGGGAAGTGAGATCTAAGTAAGGGGCATGTGGGTTCCATTGGGAGAGAGTCTAGGACGCCTAGCGCAGGCTGCATAGTAAAGACAGAACTTTGCATGGCATGACCTCAAAAAGATCATGGAATAGATGCACAGGTACACGTGATTTCAGGGAGGTGAGGAAAATAGGGTGAGGCATACATGTGATTGAAGGAAGCCATAGTAAAAGGTAGGACATGCATTATGTGTGTGTTTGAAGGGAGGCTGAGACTGAGGAAAGAGGGAGTAGGAAGCATGTATTTGTGTGTGCAAGTACAGGGAGGCTAGGAAAATAAAATGTGGACAGTTGTGCATAAAGGGGCAAAGGAGGGCACAATGCGTGTGAAGGAAGAAAAGCCTACCAACTTGTGACTTACCTTGCTGGTTTTCATTGACTTTGCTTGGGGAAAGTTGACAGGGAAGAGTACAATTGGCAATCAGATGACCACAGGTTGCTGCAACTAGTTGCAAATATGAGTTTGTTACTAAGCACCTGAATTTTGTTCATGTTACCACGATGCTGTAGCTTTGAGGATCAATCATAAGTTCCTTGTTCAACACTGTCTTATTTTCAAACAGCTGAGTCATAATTCAAGGACTACCTATAGAAACAAACAAAAGCTGTATTTCATAGTTCCTTTTAAAAAATAATAAAAATCAATATACATACATCTTAGCCTTTTTCTTTGAATCTAAATATACTCTATACCGTATCTAAAATATACTTTATATACAGAAAGATAATATGGCTCTGTAATCAAAGATAATTTTAAAAATCCATTATCCCTCTTCTTGAGAAGAAATATGTTTCATGATAAAGGTAACCATCTTTCCCTCATCCTTCATGATGTTCAGAAAAGAGAATCATGTGGCCACCTTTTCACGCCATTCACTTTCCAGGATTTAATTTACAATGTAATTAATGGCTTTATTTTTTTCCCCCTCCTGAGAATTGTAGCACTGAATGATCTTATTTTCACTTTGACATACAAAGGCAGAAGACTTGTAAGACAGACAGGATGGGGAGAAGAGATACAAATCAGACTCTTCCACTAAGGCTTGCTGGGACAGCAGGCTTCTAACTAGCTCATTTGCTTCATAATTGCTATCTTTATAGCACCGTAACTTAGCGATGCAGAAAACACAAAGAGATTGCAAAGTTTTTGCCTCTAGAGACAATAAACAGAATAATCTGGCTTTGTAGTGATGTTTCTTATTATATACTTCCCTTGTCTTCATTAACTGCAATCGCTTGGCTTCCTGGTTCTTGCATTCTGCTTTTGTCTTTAGGTGGGCATTCATAAATATACAGTTATTATTGTGACCCTTTCAATCCTCAGAAGAGTTTTGAGGAGCTTGTAAGATTATACAATACAAATTCCCCTCATGTTTGAGGGGAAGGCAACCTCCATCCTGTGGAAATTTTAACGTGGTCTAATATAAAACAAGTAAAGACTATCTCTTAAAATATTAACATTTAAGGTTGATAGGATAAAAAGGATTTTGTTGTCCACTAAAATCACAAATCGGGCTAAACTTGAAGATGCTTAGACGGGAGTTACAGTCTGAATAGGCCACAGTTGAAAAGGCCATGATTTACTGGTACTTCTGCTAATAGTGGAAAAAACTTTGGGATTAATGAAGGTTGAAGCTTCATGGTACTTACGATTAACATTAAAGTGGGAGCTCTTTCTTTCTGGAAATATCTCCATTTTGATATATCTATTAGTCTCTAGACTAAAAGACACTAAAGGAAGGATGTGTGTGTGTATGTGTATTTCTGTATGTGATTAAATATATTTTGTAGATCGGAAAAAATGGTTTTGATGGTCCTTTTTTTTTTTAATATTGAAGAATTAGTGTGAGAGGTACACTCGAACTGAAGCCAGTAAAATTAGCTGTTATCTCAGGATACGTAATTCAGTTAATAAATAAAAGAGAGTTTATGGTCATTTGAGAAGAGGTAATGGCAGATGTCCAGCCACTGTGGCTGTATGCCCATCCCCAGGATTTACCCATTATAAATACTGTATTCTAATGAAGTATAGAGGCATGCAGTTACTTGCAGATTATGTCATTCTCACTTTTCACTTTGTATTAACATGATGTGAGGTGGTTTTGACTCAGTCTGGGCAATGAAAAAGACTAAAGGAGCATGCCAATGTTAATGAAACACCACCTCCTGGAGTTTGTCACTAACAGATTATACAAGCTAAGACACTATCCGCAGCAGTCTGTAAGTGCAAGAATCATATACTGAGAGATAATTTAATTTTGACCAGAAAAAGCTCATTGTGCTTTTGCTTATTTTCAGAATTATATGAACATTTCATTATTCACATTTTGTTATGGTTACTATGGCTTGCTTGCATATACTAAGATCAAACCAAAGTATGCTGGATCATCTGCAAACATTAAACTTTGCTAGAGAGTTGAATTCATTCTCAAGGACCACTACAGAACATAGAAATCAAAGCAATTTGAAAATGTAGAATTTTTTTCCCCCTTCAATTGGACACATTCTTTAGTAATGGTGCAATTATTAGCAGTTATAAGTATCATATTCCCTAGTTAAATGTTATATCTTTTTCTGCCTACCTCATTTCGCTTCTGTTTCACATTGTTTTAATTTTCCCAGCACAGAAATGGAGAATAAGTGAGAGTTCTCAAATGTCAATATTCAACAAATGAAAATGTTATATTTCAGTTTAAACCCCTATGTATGTAGATACTGTATGTATTTGTTTGCTTTATTTATTTAATTTGGATGCTGACCTACACTACAACAAGTTACACTGCTTTATTCAAATAGTTGACTAACTATACTTAGTAAATTTGAAAGATTGCAAGCTAGGAAATATTTGTGTTTCTGGAATAGCATTACAAATATAATCCATATTTTATTTGAGAAGTAATAATTTCCCCTATAAAATAAGATAGGATCAGATAATTTTTATTGACAAAATAACTTCAATTATTTATAGATAGAGCAAGGATCAAAATAATAATAGTGATAGATATGCAGACATGCTAAGTGAGCCTGAGAATATATGAGACTTTTCCGTTTCTTTTAAAACTATGATAATTTCGACTTGTCTCTGTCTCAAAATGCAAGAAAACCAAAAGTCAGCAGTGCAACTGGAAAGGAATCTTCTTCAAAAGAGTGGAATTCTGTAGTTTCATGTTATTTTAAACTAGAAAAAGAAGGTGATATTGCTGAATAAGATGGATTCTTGAAAGTAATTCCTGCAGTACCTTTTTCTTGATCAAGCCCACTTTAATGGGGTGACACTTCATGGATGCAGGGACCTTATAGAGGTCTGCTAGTTAATCTGACATTTCTTAGTCTGGACAATTTACTGAACAAGAAATAGTTATAATTTGCATATTCTAGACCTGTTATATTCCTAACATAAATACCTGTTTTATGCAAAGTTCTTCTAAGTCGGTACTGTAGCAAGAGTGCCTATATTGGTTTAGACAATAATTCATAACCCCCCTGGAAAATGGCAGAGATTAATGAGATTGAAAATATCCAAGATAGCAACCATGATTTTTTTTATGCATGCAAAGCATGTGCAATGTAAATGAAATCTGAAACTTTAGCATTGATTAAGAAAAAAAGAGAAAGGAATAAAGGAAGGCTTAAATTAAGGCCCTGATTTTTGCCAATTCTACCGAATATAATTTAGAATTAATATACTTTGCTTAGAGTTAGGCAAAGTCATAAAGGGAATATACTTTGATGCACTAAGACCAAGGCAAACTATCTTTTTTTCAGATATGTTGTTTGTAAATATTGACTTTTAGTTTTCAGGTGAAATATCTTTTCCCTGCCTGGCAAGGAATAATGAAACTTTAATATGAAAAAATTGTAAGCAATTACTGTTCTTTTACAGCTTGCCGACCAGGTTTTTATAAAGCCTTTGCTGGTAATGTTAAATGCGCCAAATGCCCACCTCATAGTTCAACAAATGTGGAAGGTTCTACAAACTGCAAGTGTGAGAAGAACTACTTTCGATCTGAAGGAGATGTTCCATCAATGGCTTGCACAAGTGAGTAACCTCATTATGATGATCCTGAAACCTGTCCTTACATGTTGTTGGTCGTCTAGGCATGCACTTTAGAATATTTCCATGTTATTAGTGTTTCCAGACTAATCATGACTAGATATTGTTATGATTGCTGGTTTGGGAAAAGGGGTGAAGAATAATTTTTAAACACAAAAATGCAAACTTCTGGAAGACAAAGTTTGCATTCTATTATGAAGAGAGAAAGAGAAAGGAACACAAACCAAAGACTTGAACTCTGGAATCTGGAGGGGATGAAACAAAAGTTCATACCAATTGGAAAACTAAGCAGGTATTCAGCTAAGGGAATGCTGCAGGTCCCATCCCCGAGGGAGATACGCCTGGTGGGACCCAGAAGAAGGGCCTTCTTGGTAATGGCTCCCTCTCTCTGAAACATCATTCCCCCAGAGATTAGAACGGCCCCCACTCTAATTCTCTTCTGGAAGGCGCTGAAGACCTGGTTCTGCCAGTGAGCCTGGGGAACCCAGAGCGGGATGGAGCCCATTAAATGGATCGTGTGATCGGCTGTCGCCGGGGAGGGAGGTGTGAGGTGGGGTGATTTTATTACATTAATTTATTTGATTTTTTATTAGTTTTACTGTTTTTAAATGTAGTTTTTATATTCTGTAAGCTGCCTTGAGTCGCTATGGGCAAATAGGCACCAACATAAAGTTAATAATAATAATAATAATAATAATAATAATAATAATAATAATAATAATAATAATAATAATAATAATAATAATAATAATAATAATAATAATAATAATAATGTTAAAAGAAAGATACCAGACTTGTGCCAATTTGCAATAATCAGAAGCATGGGTAGAAGCAAGTAAATCCAGAGCCTCAAAACACTAGTGTAGGATCAGTTTGGCCCAGAGATAATTTTTTCTGCAATATAAACAACAATATAGACATATCTTTAATCTGTATTTCTACTTTAGTTTTTTATAGTTAAAAAAAAAATTGAAAAAGGCACAATTTTATTATAACACTGTACATTGTGCCTGTATGGTATACCACCATTCTTATCATTACTACTTTTATTGCATTATCATTATTATGCACAGTAGCATAATGTTAATTTTAGTACAATGTTATATTAGAATTATTTCCAATCATATGGAAATATGATTTCCAATTTGGTTAATTAACCCTATTTCTGGGTGTGACAATTCTCATTCACTCTTGGAAATTCAGATATACAGTTGGCTGTTGTGGAAGACTAACATTAACCTAGGGCTATGTATTAAGAACTTGAATACCTAGACTTAAGGCCTGCTTTTTATTAAGACTGTACAAAGCTTTGATGGATGATTGGACTCACATAGTTTGACTGATTCCACCACTGAATCAAATCAATGAAAAAAGCAACCTTTTTTAAATTACTGAATTGAAGCAACGGTGCCATATGCATTTTATTGGTCAACTCCTTCCCATGGTCCACAAGCACACAAACAGCTTGTTAGTAGTCACTTAACCCATAATGGCAGTTAGTAAAACAGGATTGACCCTCACCCCAACTTTGATACTTCACAGGCCTGAATATGTGGCCTCTAATTCCTCAGTTGCTATGGCACATTGCATCAGCTGGATAATGAAAGTAAAGCATTAAGACAGTGCATAATCTTACTGGTTTGGTTAATTTCTTAATAAAGTGCTTTATATAGTGGTACCAAATGTTTTTATTGCCTTTTAGTGCTGCTGAATTTATTCATAGTAATATCCTGAATATTAGTTAATTTGGAAAGAGGGATTAAAGATAGACATTAGCATACATATGTGTTACAAAATTGGTTGATATCTCTTAAAGTAGGAATGTCAAACTTGATTTTATTGAGGCCGCATCAGGTTTTGTTTTTGTTTGACCTCGGGGGGGATGGGTGTGTGGCCAGGGTGGGCATAGCCAGCCCGATGTCACTCATGTCAGGAACGCCTGTGGAGGCCCGAGTAAAAGCTGGTTTCCAAGCTCTGTTTTTAGCTGCGATGGCGTCCTGCAACCCTCTGCCAGCGAAAACGGAGTTTGGGAGGGCCGTACATAGTTTTCCCAAGCTCCGTTTTTGCTGGCTGTTTCCAGGGCGGTCCCACTGGCCAGATCTAAGCACCCTGCGTGCAGGATCCAGTCCCCTGTCTTAAAAGTATGTGAGAGAATATATAATATATAATATTTTTTTAGGACAGGGATGGGGAACTATGGCCCTTTTATAACTTGTGGACTTTAATTCCCAGAATTTTTGAGCCAACCATACTGGCTCAGGAATTCCGGGAGTGGAAGTCCACAAGTCATACAGGAGCCACAGTTCCTCACCTCTGTTTAAGAGATATAAGATAGATCATAAAACCATATGTCAGTGACAACTGTTAAATGTGTGCTTGAATGACTATTTCTTGAACAGAATTCAAACAGGATAAATAATACTTATTTTCATTCTCCTCCCATATAGGACCACCTTCTGCTCCCAGAAATGTTATTTCTAATATCAATGAAACCTCAGTTATCCTAGATTGGAGCTGGCCTTTGGACACAGGGGGCAGAAAGGATGTCACTTTCAACATTGTATGCAAGAAATGTGGAACCAGCAAGCTCTGTGAACCATGTAGCAATATAGTAAGATTTCTTCCTCGTCAGATGGGACTCTCCAATACGACTGTGACTGTAGTGGATCTCTTGGCTCATACAAATTACACTTTTGAGATAGATGCTGTTAATGGAGTATCTGATTTAAGTACCATCCCAAGACAATTTGCTGCAGTCAGCATTACAACCAATCAAGCAGGTGAGTACAGAAATGGTTATTTTGCTATCACAAAAGAATGATAGAACTTGCAGTGTTCCTATCCCTGTGCTTAACATCTTCTTTTACTCAACCTTCAAAACACCTTTAAAAAAAAAAATTCAAGCAAATAGAATTGTAGTTATCTGGAAGGAAGGGATCTTAGCATTATAGCTGATTATCAGTAGAATGTGAGTCAGCAATAATGTTGCTACAAAAAAGGCAAACCTAATTTCCAATTCCATCAATATAAGCATAGTTTCTAAATAATGGAAAGTAGTTTTCTACTTCATTACTGTCATGGCATCTCAAATATGTGCCAAGTTCTGACTTGATCTGGAGGATCATGATAAACTTGAACAGATTGGAAGAATAGTAGCAAGAATGGTTAATATACTGTAACTAAGTTTTAGGAAGGCTGATCAAGGGATACATTTAGCATTTGTAAAAGAAAAATTTGACCATGGAATGAAACTTGTGTTTGCTACTCACGTCATTCGATCGCTATTTCGTCAGGAATGTCTGTTAATAATTACATCTTTGAATTGTTATTTTTATATTTCATTAATATTATTTCATATTTCATCACTAAGAGTATTACGTTAACTGACTAATTTTTTTTAGTTAATTCCCACCCACTCCCCCACCCCAAGCATTAAGATCTTCAGTCTTTGCTTTAGCTTCGTTATCAGTGTAAAGCCTCAGGCATGGGAGAAAGACTTGATCTATGATATATTTTCTCCTAAGTAACAAAAGTTTATTTATTCATAGCCAAGTTAAGAATTTTTGAATTTAGGAACATAAAATATATTTTTTCTTTTGTCCACCAATTTGCATTTCCTGTTGCACATTTGGACAGTTTCATTTCCCAATTCCAAACCATTTCATTGTTTCTTATTGTGTTTCAATTGATCACAATAACCTATGATTTAGGGTAAGTAGACTTTGTTATAATCTGCACAGTTGAAGGACAGCTTTAATATAATTAATAATGCAAAAATAGACATTCTTCTGAAATTCCATTGTCTTTCCCATTATCCAGTAGTATTACCAATGCAGCATTTACTTCTGCCTTTTCTGAGTTCAGCTTGTGTGTCTACCAATTCTAATTCTAAGTACTGTTTTATATGAGATAAGTGCAATTATTTGGTAGTTTGAACATACTTTAGCACTGCAATTTATGTTACAGGATTATAAACTAATCTTTTCCAGTTCTTTGGCACTGCTTATAGCGTTTTAACTGCATTATCTTGCAAGCTTTTAAAGAATACATCTGGTATTTAATCAACTCATGCAGCTTTGTTGTTAGCAATATGTTCTAAAGCTTATAAAATTTCATTTTCTATTATGCCTGTCTAGTTTAATGATCAAACCTTTATATTTGGCAATTTCTTCCTTTGTTTTCTTGGAGAGGGTGATATTGATGATATAATTTTACATATTTCTATGATCTCCATTTTTGCACAAAATGTTCTTGATATATATATATATATATTACTTAAATACCCTCATTTTCTGTACACTGCTTATGTACATATAATTTTCCCTCCCCTTTTTCTTGACCCTGTGTTACGTTTTCAATTTTATGTTGCCTCCAGCATTCTGTATTTCTTCAGCTATTTTCAATTTATGAACAGAGACTCGTTTATATTTATTAATTTTCTTTTTTCCATTTCCGGATATTTTTGTTTAATTCTTCATTAATAATATCATAAATTTATTTTTAGAATTCTTCAGGTACTCTATCAGATATAATCCATTAAATCATTTCAAAATAATATGAAATATTGTTGATGCTGTAAGTTGTTGGTTTGATTATTTGGCTTTACCATTTTCTTTAAATGATAGTTTTGCAAAGAACTTTTGATCTCTGCCACATTCAGCACTTGATCTTGTTTTTGTTGGCTGAATGGCATTTGTTTTTCTTTGTTTACACAATATGTAGTCAATTTTGATTTTTTTCCATCCAGCAGTATCCATAAGGAAAGTCATCTTTAAGTTTGTTTAAATAAGATATTCAACAAGGTATTTAAATTTTCTTGACAGAATGCTATTAGTCTCACTTCTACTTCATTTTATTCACCAAGTTCAAATTTCCCCATTATTCCAGATTTTGTTGTGCCTACAAATTTAATATTCTGTTTTCCTATAATTAATATGACAATTTTAAAGTGTGGACAAGCTGTTACAAATCACCATAAAATTGTTCAGCCGTAGCTTCCTCTGCCTCTACTGTTACAGCATAGACTTGAATTACCACATTATTGATTGGCTTGAATCGAACAAAGAACAGTCTTTCATTTTGGGGGATATATTGAAACACTAGCTTTGACACTAGGTTTGTTAATAATTATGGCAATTCCATTTTTTCTGTGGTTTTCTAGTGTACAATAGAAGACCTGATGTTTCTTTGATGTGAAATGAAGTTTCAGTTCATTTCAGTTCACTGACTCCTAGAATGTCAACATTCAGTCTTGACATATCTGCTGTAACATTGTTAAGTTTGTCTTGGTTTCTGGTTCTGACATTCCCTGTAACTGTAGGATTAATAGATATTCAGCATTGTACTTTCCTGTTGCTATCCACAACAGCTGGGCTTCCTTTTGGCTTTAAAATGGCCACATAAAAAGGACTAGTGTCATTGTTTCTTGTCCTTGTTCTTTCCCAGTAGGCCATTGGACTTTTCTAGAGTGAAAGCTTAACCTTCTAGTATTATGTTGATTTCTCCTTCTTGCAATTGTCTAATTATCTACTACAGTTGGTTGCTATTTCCATTTCCAATGGATTGAATTCATTTAATCTGATTTTTTTCCGCCTATAACATACCCATCATGAGTGATTCTTCTGGTAAAGAATCCCAATGTATCTTATCATGGGAGATACAAGCTTTTTTGTTGTACAATATTATGCTCATGATGTGGAGGACACTTTCTAATACTTTCCAAGTATCTGAAGAAATTTCATACAAAAGAACAAATAGAAGGCCATGCTATTTTCTGTCATGTCTTAGGGCTGACCTTGCTAGCCAATATATTGCTTCCTATGGCAAAATATGTAAGCCAGATGTTGACTAAATCTGCCTTATGTATTTTTAGGGCAAAGAAATAGTAAAGACCATGACTTAGTTTAATTCAAATTAAGAATACATAACATTAATTGAATACAGGGAATATAAACAATCTCATATATTTAGCAATTCATGATAAAATTATTCTTCTGGCAGAGCTTGTGCATTATTGTTGCATGGTACTTTTTCCTTTTCAGTTTTAAATTGTGAGAAACAGTATCTAGATTGATTTAGTTTCTTTACTCTTAAAGGAAGGACTACTAAAGTCAGGTGATGTTATTACCAGCAAGGTTAATAATTTCCATGCCAAGTGAGCAATATAAAATATCATTTTGTTAAATGATATTTTATTAATAAAATCAGCTATTAATCAAAACTTCATGCCAATGATACCTAGTGTAAATTATAGAGGTAATATAAGTAACTAGCTGGATACCCGTGCTTTGCTACGAAACTATGTCAGGCTTGATAAATCGACACTTACAGCTTGAAAATTAATGAGTAGTTATGATCAGTCTCTCCTCTCCCCTTCGCTCTCTCAGCCTTGCCCAAAAAAATTCTATCCTATCCTATCCCTCCTTCTCTTCCTCAGCCTTGCCCCACAGAAACGTCTCCTATCTTATCCCCTTTTCTCCCTCAGCCTTGCCCATAGAAGCCTCCCCTGTCCTATTCCCTTCTCTCCCTCAGGCTTGCCCCACAGACGCCTCCCCTATCCTATTCCCTGGTTGCTGCTGTGAAAGTAAAACTGAAAATGAAACTCCTCTCCTCTGTTTGTAGTTTGCATTTGGAACAGATTTCTTTTAGGGTGGGGAGGGGAGTAGAACTCCTTAGCATCAGAGGGTTGTGAGTGAAACAGTATTTGCTGTGTGAGCAAGAAGGAGACAGGAAGGATCCTGGCCGTGGCTTAGCTCAAGTGTTCTGTATTAAAGCTGCTTCCTGCTGTGAAAGTAAAACTGAAAGTGAAACTCCTTTCTTATGCTTTTAGTGTGCATTTGGAACAAATTTCTTTTCAGGTGGGGAGGGGGAGTATAACTTCTTAGCATCAGAGGGTGTTAATCATAACACAGAAAATATTAATGCTCTGATGGTCATTTTGAAAAACCCTTTCTTAGTGAGCACCTAGAAGCCAAGAGGAACACGTATGTGGCAAATTTCAAGTTTGTAGGCTTTACGGTTCTGGAGATTTCATGATTACGGTGTGAGTGGTTTTCTCTTTTATAGATAGATTAATTAATTCTGATAATAGAAATGAAGAAAATCCTTTTATATTATAAAAGACTAGCTTTCCTGCTCATCCTTGTTTTCTGTTCTCTTTGTAGATTCTGATCATCACTAGTTTTATGTGAATATTCATTTACAATACCAATTATATTCATATTTCATTCATGCAGCTGGCGGATTTACCAGTTTTACAGGTGGTCCTCAACTTAAAATAAAAATTCAGCTCAAAATTTATGTTGCTAAGCAGGACATTTGTTAAATGAGTTTTGCTTCCTTTTACGACCTTTCTTGCCACAGTTGTTAAGTGAGTCACTGCAATTAGTAACATGATTGGCTTTGAATCTGGCTTTGGTTCTCAGTAGGTCACATGACCCAGGGACACTGCAAGCATCATAAATATGAACCAATTGCCAAGTGTCCAAATTTTCATTATGTTACCATGGGGATCCTGCAAAGGGCATAAGTATTAAAAATGGTCCTAAAACAACTTTTTCAGTACCATTGTAACTTTGAATGATCATTAAACTGTAAGTTGGACAACTATCTGTATTGCAGAATAAAATTTAAAAAATTTAAAATAGTTTTTTTTCTGGAAATTTTAAGGAATATGTGGGTTATTATACTATCTATTTATGTTATAAAATTGGCATCAATTTAGGTTTCTGTTGTAGATTTTTGCAGAAATTTACCATTTTGTATCTCCCTTTCTATTTTG